AGGAATAAAAATGTTTAATTTACTGCTCTGTGTGCTACATCATCAGATTAATGAGTTTTTACATCATTCATATCTTATCCTTTTTTACAGCAGTGTTACATTTTAATGTTGTAAATTTGATATTATTTATAGATTTTTAATCACTATTTAATAATATCTCTGCAGCAGGTGGTACTATGTGTCCCTCCAAACTATCAAAGCTCAGCTGATTCACAGAAGCAGGATTCAGCTTCGAGAGCAGTCCTGCAAATGTGTCGACTGTGTAGACTTTTCATTGGGACAGAGAGGGGGAGGGACTTTCATCCACCCAACACATGCTTTCATGTAAACTGACAGAAAATCAAACAAAACAAACTAAATTAGGACATTAGTTTTAAGAGTTTAAGAGTATTTTTCTGTCTCTGTGCATAAAAAGTACGTTTGACACATGAGAAAACATTTTTAAACTTATAGTTATAAAAATGTTATAAAAGTTTAATTTAAAATTTATTAATATATGACCTTAATGACAATAACAATGAGTCAAGTGCAACAAGCAGCGATTTATCCAACATGATACTCCAGACTAAACTGAAGGAACCAGCCAACATTTGTCTGTAACTGTCATAAACATCACAAATATGCTTTGTTCAAACTCTCAGATAAACACTTCAAACCAGTGATACACTCTAATTCTCACACATGAGAAACACTTTCATTAATTAGTGCCATTCAAACAATGTCACAAATGTACTTACACAATAACCCCGTCATGCAGAGCAAAGAGTACCCCATCCTCACATCCAGCCCTGCTGCACTCTGATCCTCAGCTGATCCCAAACACTTTGACTTTACATCAATAATAAAAAGAGAAGCTGCATTTAATACAGATAAGACCAGAGTGTTTCTTCTGACTGTGGCCTCTCTGTGCTTCCTTTCCTTTTATAGAAACCTCAAACAGCTCCTGTAGCTTTGACCACAGCAGTTGTGTGACGTGTTCACATTTCCTGCCCACTGCAAACATGCAGGCTTGCTTCTTGTGTTTTCTTCTTACCTTCTGTTGTTTCAGGTCAGGTGACATATTTTACCAGCTCATAATTATGTTTTATTCTCAGAGACTTTTATGTGATTTTTGCAGTGTCCTGTCATGAC